TGAAGAATGTCATGCAAAGCTGCCTGCCTGCCTTCCTTTGATTCTCTCTGAACTGCCTGGTCGTTTTAATGTTTAATGTCAACCATTTGTGCAGATAGCATGAAGTAGAGAAGATCGCTAGCGTTAGCGTTAGCATTTCTCCCCCGGGCTTAAATTGTGTATTATAGAATGATCACACCGGTGACAGTACTCTTCAAAGGGTTCACGAAATATGACTACTACTCTTACTGTTTAACATTGTGGGTTACTTAATGTTACTTCATGTTAAGGCTAATAAAAATGACAAGGCTGTAATGCTAACTAACGTGCTAGCTACTAGCTAACTTGATCCACACACTCCTCTTTCATCAGACGGGAAGCAAAAGAACGAGCAAGACCCATTGCTGGTATAATAACAACCTGGTACTAAGCACACAGGCATCTTGTGAAAGTGGCTCAGTCAGTAGGGGCTTGGACTGGGAGCCGTAGGGTCGCTGGTTCAAGTCCCCGACCAGACCTAAATATGGAGTGTGGACTTCTACTTGGAGAGGTCCCAGTTCACCTCCTGCCCTGCCGTGGTGCCCTTGAGCAAGGCACCGGACACCCCCCTTCCCCCCCCACTCCCATTGCTCCCCGGGCGCTGTACAATAGCTGCCCACTGCTCCTAGTACTAGACTCCTTGTACTAGGATGGGTTAAAAGCAGAGGCCAAATTTCACTGTGTGTGCTGTGTGCTCTGCATGTGTGACCATTAAAGAGGGTTTCATCCCTCCCTATTCTATTCTATCTATAGCCAGCGCCATATAGATAGATTCTATCTATATGGCGCTGATCGTATATATACGGGTATTATACGTATATCGTAGTGTCTCAATTGTGACATCACTTACGCGACTCTGGGATTTGTAGTCTTTCTAGTTACGTATTTTTCATAGTCTTATATTTCAACAGTTTTACGACCAAACTGTGACTTTTTTGACATGGAAATGATTTTTTAAGATTGACAAACATCATATGTGTAATTCATGGCACAATTCAAACGGGATCGAAAGATAAGTTTTTCTCTCCCCATTGACTTCAATGCATAATTTTTCCGAAATAAGGTCCCATTACCCGGAAGTAAGTGGGCGTGACTTCGCCACTCTATAGCGGGCCCTCTGTGAATCGCAGAGAGGCCCGCTATAGTAACTGACATTCAAACAGAGACTGAACAGGCAGATTCGAAGGATTTATTTCTTTGGAAATGTTATTTATTAAATCAAGTTTTTTTTTCGGTTAAAACTAATGAAAAATATAACAAAAATAATATTAAAAAATATATATATTTAAAAAATATATATTTTTTTTTAATGTTTTTAAATATTATTTTTGGAATATCTTTAGGCCCTCACAGAGGGCCCTGACGGCTCGCCACTGAACAACTAATAATTAACTCACCTAACTCACCTAATAAGATCATAAGACTCGCGCATGCGCAATGCATATTCGCATATTGGCCAGCCGTCTAGACCATAGATATATATAAATCTATATGTGTTTATATATATCTATGGTCTAGACGGTCTAGACGTCAAGTGTCCTAGTTGGGTTGCCGTACGGAGTTGTGCAATATGGCGGACCATCTCGCACATGCGCATAACATCTCGCACATGCGCATAACAACATGGTGATGTTTTTGTAAATGATTACATGTCTTATTTAGCACAGACTATGATCCAGACTATGATCCTATCCGTGACATATGGATCTTAACAAAGATCCGCTATACATTAGTACCAGACATACTGTACATTGTGATGATTGACATTATTCACCCACGGATCTATGGTGGGGTATTGTTCCGCACGGACATTTTAGTGAACCAGACCAGCTGTTTCCGCCGGGTCTTCGCTTCCCGGGCATGAAGTTGTTTACATGTGTGTTCAGATGCTAAATAAAGTTTAGCTTGTACTTTTGATACCCCGCCTCCGACTCCCGTCTCTCGGCACCACAACATCCAGTTTACTGTATTTCACATGAGCGATGTCGAACATTGAAAAGTCCTTATAAAATGTCTGTTATTAGATCAGTACTTTTCTTATATGACTATTATTGACTTGAACACTGAGAATGTATTTATTAACTTCAGACATTTGAAATATTTGAAATCAGATGAAAACAAACTGTAACGGACCCTGCCGTGTTATCTATGATTAATATGCCTTACTGTACATTCATAATTTCAAAACATTCAAAAGCATTAAATAAAAAGTCATGAAAGAGATAAGGAGGAGAAAAGGTTTAAGGAAAGTAAGCAAGGAATACAGAATGTTTCGTTATAATTTGCAGCGACTTGGTCATTGTGGGGAAAAATAACACCCATCCTGATCGTTTCAATGAAGTTGAATACAGAATATTCATATTTGTCAGTGATTTCATGTCAATTCGGCGAACATAAACATCAATGATGATGATTACATTAGGATTAAAAATCGGGAGAGCCGGCTCGTTCGTTTTTTTCGACTAAACAACATTATTTTGTTAAATAACAACATGGTGATGTTTTGTAAATGATTACATGTCTTATTTAGCACAGACTATGATCCTATCCGTGACATATGGATCTTAACAAAGATCCGCTATACATTAGTACCAGACATACTGTACATCCAGTTTGTCGAAGACTCCACACATGACTCCAGTGTGGAACCCCACTGCACCCCCTGGTGGATCAATGATCCATTGCAGCTGGCTTCACAATAATTAAATGTATTTATCATGGGGGCGGTATCAAGTCAGACTGGGGGCCGGCCGGCCATCACGGAACGTGCACGAACCAATCACGACCCTCGCGTTTTAAACTGTCCAAAATAAGACGCTCCATCTGTAACTGCTGTCTGTGCAATTTACTCTGCGAGTTGGCGGACTTTATTTTGCTTACTTTAGCATCATTTTTCATGGTGGGGCTAAGCCATTTCTTGGTATGGCTGTAGCCTACCCCAGCCATACCCTGGCGCCGCAACTGTCTGGCTCCCACCTCCACCTGTCTCCAATATATACAATTACACCAGGTGCTCTACTCACCCAGTGCCCAAACATGCCTTCAAAATAAAAGCATAGAAACTACTTTAACTTATGACGCTAACTCAGAATACATTTACAATAAACACTATAAACAGCAAGAAAATAAATGTTAAAGTATTAAATAATATAAAGAGATATATAGCTCCAACAGATAGTGTTGGAGCCAATTTGCTTTGGGTTGTGCACAGGGTTTGTTTATGTGTGTGTGAACGCGTCATCATCCAATCTGCGCACCTGGGAGCACGGGAGGTAATTAACCTATATATATATATATGGGCACGGGTGATCAGCTGGGATGAGAGGTTAGAGAGGAAGCCACACGTTTGTCAACCGTGTTGACCGTGATTGTTTGTGTCTGAGTGTGTGCGTGATCGTTATGTTTTAAACAAGATTTTAGATACGCGAGTCTTAAAAGAACATTTTAACCATGGACAAGTAAATAAAGCATTACAGATTACGTCATGGTGGACCTCATCCTTCACAACAACACGCGTTGGGAAACTCTGACTGCTAACCTCCATGAGTGGCCTTTTTTGATGAGCGATCGCCGCTACAGATAGTTTAACATTATTTAGTTCAGTCAATGATACAGTTCTAAACTCCTGGTCAGCCCCAAAGAGTTTGCCTGTGTTAGACACCATTTCTTTACAGGCTGTTTCGTTTCTCCAAACTGTTTAGGGTAACAAACAGGACTATTTGTGGTTTTAGTTTACCTTTGGAATCACCATGCTTTTTAAGAATGCAGTAATTGCTTCTTTAAATGACCCTACCTTGATAAACGACTTGACTGTCCAACAAGGCAATCTACATTCTTCATTGGTGTATGAAAAGTCTTATTATTATATAGTGGAGGATGATCCTGATTAATTGCATTAAATTAAAATGTGTGGTATAATGTTTCCAATATGGGCATTATTCCTGTTGGAGAGAAGACTAACTTTTTTCTTTCTATCCATTGATCTTTGCTTGCACTTCTTCAGCATTTCTAAGTGCTTCTCCTTCTCCAGTCTCAGCTGCTCCTCACGCAGCCTGGAACATGATGCAGTACAAGAGAACAAGGTTTAACCTGACAGAGCTCATCACACAACCGCACCTCTCTACACGTTGTTAATAAAACATTTACTTTAGTGACTGGCCTGCAACATATGACACTAAAAAAAGCTCATTTGCAAACTTCCCATTTTTTTTCGGCACTTTCTTTATTAGTCTAGTTGCCACATCATAGAGTCCTATTGTGAACCCGTAAATATTGAGTACCACAACGTTTTCTGTTAGAACTGTATAGTACGGGTCCCCAGCACATACAAACTGCCGGATGCTAACTTTAGTACAGACACTAGTTAAAAAATGGGCAGATTTGGAACATTTCTGAGTGGTTTTGGGGGTTATTGAGGAGTACATTTCTGACATTTTCAGGATCAAAAATGTCAGTTTTAACCAGAAAATGCCAATCTTTGTACTCTCTGTGGGCTGATTTGATTAATTTTGGGTGGGTTTAGAAGATTTAGGGGACTCTGGATCATTTGGATAGGACAGACTGCATATTTAAGATAAATTGTCTGCAGTAGGGATAATAACCAGCCTGTCACAGAGAGTACACATATTGCCACCTTCTGGTTAAAACTGCTATTTTTGATCCTGACAATGTCAGAAATGTCCAGGTTCACATTGCTGGCAACTACACTAATCATATCAACTGCAGTGAATACAAACACACCCTTTGAAAAGGTTTAATGTCATATCATTTCCATTTACAACATATGTGAATACTCTAGTGCAAATAGTAAAACACTCAGAAAAGGAAACAAAGGATTATGTACATGTTGGGTGAAATATATGACCTGACCCCTCATACACTCTCTCATTCAAAGCATACATACTGGGATCCACCTTTAACTCCAGGCTCATAAACACAGACCTGCCCCTCCTAATGCTGTCCTTGATCAGCCTCAGTGTCTCCAGGTTCTCTTTAGGGATGCTCTCCAAGAACTGGAGCTGTAAACATGCACGGTGTTCAAACACTGGTCAGCTTCTCCAAGGTGCTGAGGCAGGTCGGATGGGAGTCCACGCAGCAGCGATACACTTCAGTTATCTTCACACCCAGAGCATCTGACATCATATCCTGTAGGTAGTGAACAGACAGAAACACATAGAAAACATCTCAATGAGATGCTGCAGGCCACACCCCTCTGCAAAGTCTTTTGTCATATTTTTACATTTGATATGGATGGATCAGGACAGAAAGAGAGCGACTGTTTGTTCCTGAACGTTCTGTGTCTCTTAACACAGAGGGGACACATGTGTGTATAAAAGACATGAACAAGTGGACTTTGAATAATAGGCGACCTTAAAGTCACAGGCTCCTCGAACAATGCAACATAAAACAAAACGAAACAAAAACAATAAAAAGTAGTGCAGGAAGGAACAGAGAAGAAATCAAATAGTGCAAGAGAATGTTGCAAGACTAATGTGCAAGTAATGCAGGAGAAGTTAACTATAAGTCAAATCAAATAAGATGAGCTAAAGACAGAATGTAATATTACATTCTGTACAGTGAAATAAAATACTGTTTATTGTAATAATAGATCAATATTTCAGATGCAAACAGATTGATGGTATAGAGTGGTAGCAGTCTAATGGCCGGTGGGGTGAAACTGTCCCTGAGTCTGCTGGAATGTGTGCTGCGTTGAGATAGGATACCACTTTAGATGATTTCTTGCTTTTTTGTTTTCCTTTTTAAATTGTAGGTTAAATCAAATGAAAGCGCATCCTTCAGAGTTCTACTCTGCAGTATCTAACGTACAGTACACTGGGCTTCCTTACGTGGTCCTTTAACGAGTCGTCGAGCTGAACCTTCCTTTGAGCGTGGCGGCTCTCTCCAGGTCGCTGGCGATCCTGTCCTTCATCTCGTCCAGCTGCAGCGTAAGTTTCTCATCATCCTCTTCCCTGCACACACACAGGGGAGAGAGACATCCATCACTTTATTGTCACATGCTGGTCACAGCTTAGTATTCTAGCACTTCATGTTTTTTCTTTTGAACATTTATTAAAACAAGTTCCTTGACAGCCAGTCTCACACAACATGGTAAAGTGTTGGGAAAATACTGAATGTCCTCTTCCAATATGAGAGTACACATAATAACAAAGGTATCCCAACTGTAGCTGTGTACATGACATGTCATTGTCATATGTACACCAGTCGTGTTTTCTCTATGATATTATGTTGAAATATGAGCTCAATGACTCTAAACAGTAATGATAACGCCACAAAATGCAGATTCAAACTAAAGTAATAAGCCTGTTTTCAAAATGTCAGAAGTAGAAAGTACCGGTAATTGTGTTAAAATTGTAAGGAGTAAAAAAAAAAGATGTCCTGTCTTGGGTCTTAGTAATAGAGGAGAGGCGATTATTACCCTCGTCCAAACACGTATTTACTGATAAACAAAATCATAACTGTTACTCAGTGTGATTGGCTGCTTCACATCCCTCACAACGGAATAGGAATTATCATTTCTTGATCTTATGAAAAGTTACACTAAGATATTGAACCTTATTATCTGAGCATTGACTGTCATCTCAGTCCTGGGAACACCCGACATGTGTCTCAGAACATGGCGTCCCCGGAAGTCCGTATTTGATCTTTTTCAATTGTATTGGTTGGTTTGTGGGTTGTTTTAGGTTCCCTTAGTCCCGTTTTTTACTTTACATGTTTTTGTATTGTACATGCCCTCTTTTTTTGTCTTAATAATACATTTAGTTTGTTGTCTTTTGTTAAAGCTCATTGACTTCAGAAGGAAGAGGAGGTTTCAACAGCCCCCTGTGCATTCTGGGAGAGGACGTTGTTGTGGTGAAGGGACTACAGGTACTGGGAGTGCACCTGTCTCTTTTTTCTATACCCCACAGCTGCTTTTGCACAGTGAAGTAAAAAGATATGATTCTACACTGTATTTTAGTGAACATGTATTGTTGAACTGTTTTATGTAATCACAACGGTTTTGGGTAATTATATATAGAATAGGAATGTTATTCTTACTTTCAAACTCACTGATCCAGAGATTCTGTGTTCCAACACACCAACCTTGTCTGTTTTTACCCCTAAAAACAGATGTCGTCATTAAGGTCGTGTAAAGACAACATTACACATCGCTTCTTATCATCCCTAGAAGCCAGATGCTGTTTTTAAGTCGTTAAAGACATCGTTAAATAGGTGAAGAACGCATGGGAAGGGAATGTGGTGTAGATAAGGTGGAGATAAACGTTGACTTTTGACCTGGTGAAATTTAGGATCTCACTCTCTGTTCGGAACTCTGATTGACCTCGACCAGAAGTGTGAATCCAGCCAATCAGGACACTTGGGGAGGTGAGCAGTTTAAACAGCCTCCTCCCCAGGGTTCTCTAATTCGCTTGGGAGAAAATGGGAAGGAAGAGTCGACAAAATCTCCCGCCCCAAAGATAGATATGAATACTGATGTTTTGAGTGTGAAGTCGCTTTTGGTTTGGTGAGTTTGTTGGTCCTGATATCTGTGTCCGCAATCGCATCACAAACCTGAAGTCCAATTTCTTTTGGTTTGATGAGTTTGATGGTCCTGACGCCTTTATCCGCATCGCATCACATACCCGAAAGTCCGGAGTACTCGAGTACTCTGTATAACTTGTATATGTGTTTGGTTTCCTACCAGAAGTAAACTCAGATAATTTGTTATAACTTTGATTCCGGTGTTTTCAATTCCTTTCTTAATTTAATAGAGATCCAGCCTCATCCAACGAACGGCGCGTAGCAGAGGTGTTCTGCTCCAACAACAGTTGTAATTAATATATAATACCATGCCAATAAGTGTCTGTAGTACATTTTCTATATATTTCTGTAGCTTAGTGAGATTGTATATTGTAGACTTTAGAGTATTCAATGTATTCGTTATAATTGTGTATTATTTAAATACTCTAGTGATATATGTCCTTTCTATTGTGGAATTTGTATATACTTGCTGCTAGTGTCACTTTTAATTTTATTTGTATCTTATCTATCTTTTTTATATTTGTAACTTGTCGAATGCATGATAACACTTGCTGCTGTGACAACATGATTTCACAATTTGGGATGAATAAAGTATTCATCCACCTAACCTCAGGATAAATCATGCTTACATTTTCCTAGAAATGGTCTCTATGTCCTGCATGAGCTCCTTCAGTGGCGACTCATCCACCCAGTATGAATCGCGAGTCAGTGACAAGACCTGATCTGTAAACTCTGTCACCAGGTCCAGTATCTGGTGGGCTTCAGAGAAGAGCTCCAGCTTATCCTGCAGGGGGGGGGGGGGGAGGACACTGTGAACATTGCAAATAAACACTCAAGACACAATGAGGTAGAGCAGCAGGAAATCTGACCTCATCCACGTTACTATCCGTGACCCTGCAATGCCAAAGACAGGGTTTGTGCTGGAGACAGATGAAGATGCACCGAGCCCTGTGAAGTGCCTTCATAACCTAAAGTATTCATCTGTTTGCATCTGACCATTTATTTATTTTATTATATATCACTACAATAAACAATACATTTGATTTTATTTACTTGTCTATCTTATTCTATTTACATGTATATGTCTTGTGCATTTACTTGGTTTTTGTTTTGTGTTCTATATAGGAAATAAGTATTTGATCCCTTGCAGACTTTGTAAGTTTGCCCACTTACAGAGAAATGAACAATCTATCATTTTAATGGTAGGTTTATTTTAACAGTGAGAGTAAGAATATACAAAAGAAATCCAGAAATTGACATTATATAAAAGATGAAAATGTATTTGCATATAACCGTGGGAAATAAGTATTTGATCCCCTTGCAACCAACAATTATTCTGGCTCCCACAGAGACATAAGTCCTCTTCCTTTAGGAAAGTACTCCTAATCAACTTGTTACCTGTATAAAAGACACCTGTCCACAGAATCAATAAATCAGATTCCAACCTCTCCTCCAGGGGCCAGACTAAAGAGCTGTCTAAGGACCTCAGGGACCAGACTGTAGACCTGCACCAGGCTGGGACTGGCTACAAGACCATCAGAAAGCAGCTTGGTGAGAAGGAGACCACTGTTGGTGCCATTATTCAGAAATAGAAGAAACACAAAAAGAGCATCACTAGCCGCGTTCACACCGGAGTACTTTTCACCGTACTTTTCACCGTACTTTTCGCGTTTAGTTCCGTGAGTACCCCTTATGTCGCGTTCAAACAGGGGAGATGGGGTCTAGCCTTCTGGTATTTGTCAAAAGTCTTGCTGCGTCTGTCATTTACCTCAGTCTTTTCTCCTGAGTTCATTGTACTCTTCATCGCTCTCTGTCTCTGAGGATGGAGGAAAGATAATTGCAATATGAAGTCAGCAATCATTTCCAGTCATAATTAATGCCACTGCAACATTTAACATGCTCTCTGATCCAGAGATTCTGTGTTCCAACACACCAACCTTGTCTGTTTTACCCCTAAAAACAGATGTCGTCATTAAGGTCGTTAAAGACAACATTACATCGCTTCTTATCATCCCTAGAAGCCAGATGCTGTTTTTAAGTCGTTAAAGACATCGTTAAATAGGTGAAGAACGCATGGGAAGGGAATGTGGTGTAGATAAGGTGGAGATAAACGTTGACTTTTGACCTGGTGAAATTTAGGATCTCACTCTCTGTTCGGAACTCTGATTGACCTCGACCAGAAGTGAATCCAGCCAATCAGGACACTTGGGGGAGGTGAGCAGTTTAAACAGCTCCTCCCCAGGGGTTCTCTAATTCGCTTGGGAGAAAAATGGGAAGGAAGAGTCGACAAATCTCCGCCCCAAAGATAGATATGAATACTGATGTTTTTGAGTGTGAAGTCGCTTTTTGGTTTGGTGAGTTTGTTGGTCCTGATATCTGTGTCCGCATCGCATCACAAACCTGAAGTCCAATTTCTTTTTGGTTTGATGAGTTTGATGGTCCTGACGCCTTTATCCGCATCGCATCACAAACCCGAAAGTCCGGAGTACTCGAGTACTCTGTATAACTTGTATATGTGTTTGGTTTCCTACCAGAAGTAAACTCAGATAATTTGTTATAACTTTGATTCCGGTGTTTTCAATTCCTTTCTTAATTTAATAGAGATCCAGCCTCATCCAACGAACGGCGCGTAGCAGAGGTGTTCTGCTCCAACAACAGTTGTAATTAATATATAATACCATGCCAATAAGTGTCTGTAGTACATTTCTATATATTTCTGTAGCTTAGTGAGATTGTATATTGTAGACTTTAGAGTATTCAATGTATTCGTTATATTGTGTATTATTTAAATACTCTAGTGATATATGTCCTTTCTATTGTGAATTTGTATATACTTGCTGCTAGTGTCACTTTTAATTTTATTTGTATCTTATTCTATCTTTTTTATATTTGTAACTTGTCGAATGCATGATAACACTGCTGCTGTGACAACATGATTTCACAATTTGGGATGAATAAAGTATTCATCCACCTAACCTCAGGATAAATCATGCTTACATTTTCCTAGAAATGGTCTCTATGTCCTGCATGAGCTCCTTCAGTGGCGACTCATCCACCCAGTATGAATCGCGAGTCAGTGACAAGACCTGATCTGTAAACTCTGTCACCAGGTCCAGTATCTGGTGGGCTTCAGAGAAGAGCTCCAGCTTATCCTGCAGGGGGGGCGGGGGGAGGACACTGTGAACATTGCAAATAAACACTCAAGACACAATGAGGTAGAGCAGCAGGAAATCTGACCTCATCCACGTTACTATCCGTGACCCTGCAATGCCAAAGACAGGGTTTGTGCTGGAGACAGATGAAGATGCACCGAGCCCAGTGAAGTGCCTTCATAACCTAAAGTATTCATCTGTTTGCATCTGACCATTTATTTATTTTATTATATATCACTACAATAAACAATACATTTGATTTTATTTACTTGTCTATCTTATTCTATTTACATGTATATGTCTTGTGCATTTACTTGGTTTTTGTTTTGTGTTCTATATAGGAAATAAGTATTTGATCCCTTGCAGACTTTGTAAGTTTGCCCACTTACAGAGAAATGAACAATCTATCATTTTAATGGTAGGTTTATTTTAACAGTGAGAGTAAGAATATACAAAAGAAATCCAGAAATTGACATTATATAAAAGATGAAAATGTATTTGCATATAACCGTGGGAAATAAGTATTTGATCCCCTTGCAACCAACAATTATTCTGGCTCCCACAGAGACATAAGTCCTCTTCCTTTAGGAAAGTACTCCTAATCAACTTGTTACCTGTATAAAAGACACCTGTCCACAGAATCAATAAATCAGATTCCAACCTCTCCTCCAGGGGCCAGACTAAAGAGCTGTCTAAGGACCTCAGGGACCAGACTGTAGACCTGCACCAGGCTGGGACTGGCTACAAGACCATCAGAAAGCAGCTTGGTGAGAAGGAGACCACTGTTGGTGCCATTATTCAGAAATAGAAGAAACACAAAAAGAGCATCACTAGCCGCGTTCACACCGGAGTACTTTTCACCGTACTTTTCACCGTACTTTTCGCGTTTAGTTCCGTGAGTACCCCTTATGTCGCGTTCACACCAAAAATCGTACTTAATCTCGGGTACTTTTACCCCCATTTTTAGAGCCCGCTGGGAGAGCGTACTTTTCTGTGGGTGAAAAGTGCCCCAAAAGTGCCCCAGTGCTGATTGGCTGGGCGAATTGCAAACCACGCCCGTACAACTGTGAAAATGTTGTGTGGAGACGCCATTGTTTTTCCTCGCTACAAAAACAAACCCAACGCACCAACGGAGCGTTGGGTTTGTTTTTGAAAGCAGTTATGGCAAGCATCAAGAAATTATGAGGAGGTGTCGGCGCTTCTGGAGATCTACGCCGAGGACGCGACCCAGGGAATGCTACTGAAGCCAGTTCAGTAGCTTTCACTCGACCTGGGAATCGTGCACAGCCGGCTAAAAATAAAGAAACTCAGGACTACAAACGGCGGATTCAGTGGCCAACGATGACTACCACGACGAAGGTAAAATCAACTACATGCACTGGGGTTTTAATCTGCACAATAATGGTCTCAGATGTACTTTTATTTGCTCAGTAGATCAAGCTAGCCATGCTAGCCATAATAGGCTAACACCGGCCCCGAGCTAGCTACATCTAGCTAGCTAGATATTCTCGGCCGCTATGAAAACGTTTTGACTTGTGAATAACTGTGCAGTGTTTCTGTAATTTGCTTCACTAACTCATGGCACTAATCGTCTGTTTCAGGCGAGGATGGACAACTCTCGGGATTGGAAACAAGCGAGCTTTGCATTCTAGATCACAGCGCTTGGTCGTCCTCCTTACCAGCAACCAAACGCAAAGGTACACACACTGTAACTTTGTCTTGAAAGAACGTTACGCATCGAACTGATGTTCACAATCATGTTTATTTCATAATATTCATCATATTTTATGTTTAACTTGCCTCAACAACATTAAACAAAGTTCAAGCATACATGAAGCACTCTTCAAAAAGGAACAATCCTCCGTGTTTGAACCTCTTAAATCGCTGCATAGCCGATTTATTTGGACTGGATTATCCCAGAGAGGCTAAACATTCTTTATAACACAGTTTCAGATTTGTGAAACCTTTAATTCTATTTGTGAAAATACAAAAAGAGAGATTTTAGTGCTTTTTCGCATCCTGGCCACATTAGACCAGGTCCTGATCTAAAACCACTATACCTAGACTCATCAAATCTGGACTGGATTATCCCAGAGAGTCAAAAGATTCTTTATAACACAGTTTCAGATTTGTGAAACCTTAATTCTATTTGTGAAAATACCAAAAAAACATTCCTAGTATGTTGTAAAACTACATGGCGACTAAACAGATCTTGTATCTTGCTTATTTTCCCCTCTTAGGAAAGCGGACACGGGATGCGAATTTCTTTGACACCGCCCAGGCGTTGGAGGACCGGCGTGCCGTGGTGAAAGAGTCGATGTACGGGGATCAGATGGTGCTGTTCACCAAGGCCCAGGAAACGGAGGACAAGATGCTCACCAGTTCATTTTATATTATTGTTATTACTGTTATTATATAGTCTTGATACAACTGACACTTTATTTTATATTGATAATGTTAATTTACATGTACAACTTCTATTTTATTTACATTAAAATGTGAACTTCTATTTACTGTTAAACAGATCCTGTAGCTTGCTTATTTCTCCTGACACTTTATCTTAAGTGACCGTAGCATCCTATACATCACATGTAAGTGATTATTCTGATACCATCATGTTTCATCGGTTATAAACTGGCAAAGCTTTATTTGTCATTTATTTATCATCAATGCTGCAACCTTGTGGAGGAATGGCAGGGGCACATACACAAATATGATAATTTATATCATTTTAAATATTATTTGACCTAAAACTAAATGTTTTTATGATTGTCCTCTGAGGAGGACATGGGGATTTGCAAACTTTTAATTCCCCCCCCCCATTTTACACAACACAAAATGGAGTCCACTATGGGCCGAAACTAACATGTATGTTTATGGCAGACGGATGCAGTGGGTCTCAGGAAGATAAATAATAACGGTGGGTTTGCTGCTGAGCCTATTTACTGTGCATACAACACACCTGGCACAGTTTATTGTTATTATATTGCCACACTGTACACTATTGTAATGTTGCCTGTCTTGACTGGAAAATAAAAGAGAAACAAAAGCACTGTACAAAAGATCATCTTTATTGTCAAAATGTTTACAATCTACACGCTGTTCAGATGCCTCATAAAGCTGGGTCGCCGGTAAGGCAGTCCATTCGTCCCTGTACTCATTACTTTCACAAAGGTTATGTAATATGCAACATGCTGCCACCTGGAATGTGATCTTGTCCATCTTGCAGTCGTTTCTTTTCATCAAGCACCGCCACCTGCCCTTCAGTCTGCCAAAAGCGTTCTCCACCACCACTCGTGCTCGGCTTGTTTTGTTATTGTACGCAAGTTGCTCAGGCTGCATTAACTCAGTTACAAAGCTGTATAACATGAGCACAAACAGCACAACTTCAGTCGACTCCATCTCCATCATGTCTGAGGTCGGAAGGTAAACAACAGACGCCTAATGTACAGCGAGTGGGTGGGCGTCGCAGTATACGCGGGAAGTTTTTCTTCTTCTTCTCTTGTTTTGCAGCGGATTGCAAACAACTTTAAGGTGCATACCGCCACCTACTGTACGTGGTTTGTGGCCTGCCAGTAAAGCCAAAGCAGAAGAAGAAGAAGTGACGTCAGCGGCTCATTTGCGTAATCTTCCCTCAGGGAAAAGTACTCCGGTGTGAACGCGATCTGTACTAAGTGCCCTGGGGTTAAAAGCGCCGGGGCTCTTAGTGCCGGAACTAAGTACAGGAAAGTACTTGGTGTGAACGCGGCTAATGGCCCTCGGTCTGGGGCTCCACACAAGATCTGGCCCCCTGGGGTATTGATGATCATGAGAAAGGTGAGGGATCAGCCCAGAACTACACAGGAGGAACTTGTTAATGATCTCAAGGCAGCTGGGACCACAGTCACCTAGAAAACTATTGGTATCACACTACACACCATAATGGATCAAATCCTGCAGCACCTGAAGGGCCTTCTCAAGAAGAACATGAAAAGCCGTCTGAAGTTTGACAACGAACCTCTGAATGATTCAGAGAAGGCTTGGGAGAAGGTGATGAGGTCAGATGAGACCAGCATTGAGATCTTTGGCATCAACTGGACACGCCGTGTTTGGAGGAAGAGAGATGCTGACTGTAACCCCAGAACACCAAATATCTGTTATATTCAGGCCGGATCTCATCAAACATGGGAGGCTCCCTATGAAGAAGAAAGAGTACGTTTGGATCTATGTTCAGTGCAGATGAGTATGTCTGAAACAGCTCGTGTTTATTTATAAAACCTTTTCAAAGCACCTAATGGTTCATATCTGTTTGCATACACACCATGGGCAGAGGTGGAAAGTCACGTTACTGAAGTACTGTACTAAAGAATCATTTTGCGACACTTGTACTTTACTTGAGTATTTCAATTTGTTGCTACTTTGTACTTCTACCCCACTACAATTCAAAGGGAAATATTGTACTTTTACTCCACTACATTTATTGAAAAGCTTTAGCTGCTTTTACTCTTTAAGTCACAAGAGTCAAATTATTTAAATATTAAACAAAAACTAAATCTACATGTCTATGTTTGTCTACAACAGTAAAATACTCCTTGATGCAACAATATTATCGAGACATGTATAAATATCATTATATACACACATTAAGGCACTTCTTCTGCACCATAATTACTTTTACTTTTAAAATGTAAGTACATTTAGCTGAGAATACTTTGGTACATTTACTTAAGTAAGACTTTGAATGCAGGACTTTTACTAGTAAAAAAGTATTTTGACAAAGATGTATTGGTACTTTTACTCAAGTAAAGCATCTAAATACTCAACACAGTCTCACGGCATTTCGTGTTATAGTCACGAAATTAATCTATTGATTCGTGTTCACCAACACGATTTCGC